TGTCACTTGGTTGGCAGCCATGGCATTCTTTGACCGGTGCCTCGTTCCTTATCCAGTTGGGGTGTCTGGGTGTCAGGCGATCCTTGGAGGGTACGGCGGGTACGGAGGTACTTGGCCTTTCTCGCGTCTGGATTAGCTCCCGGAAAGCAAGGGTTCTGCCGAGCCGGGCTACTGTAGCAGTCCTCCATGGCACTCCCACCCCAGCAGCCCAGCAAAACCCCCCCAAGCCCCCAAGCCCAGCGGTCCTGGAGCCCAGCAGCAGCAGCGCACCGCAGAGGCCCAGCCAGGCCGTCAGGGCAGGGAGCGGCCCTGCAAGAATGCCATGGTCCCGCACCTATCCGCCCTGCAGGGTGCCCTGTGCCGGGGCGTGCTGGCCAGCCAACCCTGCACCCACCGGGCGAACGACAGCACGCCAGGGAGACTTCTAGGGCCATGTCGAATGTCCACGGGCACATCTCGCTGAACAGTACCGTGAGTATCGCTGCCCTCATCCTCACAACACCAAAAACAACGACGCTGTCAGCCAGGCCACCAGCAGGCAAAACCCCACTGCCGCCACCCTCTTGCAATCTTCTGTCTGCATTCCCGTATTCTATATGCACGGCTATCCAGCTTCTGCTGCGGCCCCAGCGACAGCATCTCCACCCTCAGCCGCCTGTCGGTCCCACCTCCACCTTAAGTGCTCCCATCTCCGCGCCATCCTTCGCCCGTCTCGAGTCTTGCTCGACCACTGGCCCGGCAGATCGACTTGCAAGCTTTCCATGCTCAAGCCCTTTGCATCTTGGCATCTCCTCCTTCACAGCTCTACAAGCCTGCTACTTGCCACCATGCTTGCACCTGCAGCTGCCCAATAAACCGACCAGCAGCCCCGGACCACATATTGCAGACCACTGACAACTCTCGCTTTCCCAGCCCTACAAGTCTTGTCGATCTGATCTGAGCAAAACATTCTTACGAGTCTCCCTCCTCGAGTTCTTCCGCCTATCTGTCCTCCTGTCTACCGCACCAGCCTTGCCGTTACCAGTCGTGCTTGTTCTTCCGCCTGGGTCACCGTCCCGCTGCCTGCCCAAATGAAAAAGTCGCCGCGGTGACACACAATTACAGACAGACGGCCCGCCGCTACTGGCAGATTTTCGCATTTCCGCGAGGACACAGTTCGAGCTCTTTTGCCTCAGACAAACCGCCTTTTTTTTTCATTCTCTTTCCCAAAGAGTTGATGCTGCCGCCACGCTGTGTGCAACAACAACAACAACAACAACAACAGCAGCCAGTCATTGCGCAAGAGGCCTCTTAATAGCTCCTCACGACTGTGCCTTACTGAACCAGGCCGCCGAGAATCTCTTGCATGACAAATTGCTGCGACGTCTCTGAGGCCACGCGGCTTTTGGAGGAGTCACTGGAGGAGCAGAGGGCCCGCTCGCTGGTCTAACACGGCATCGACCGCCATCACAGCCTTAGCCATTGCGGCTCGTGGTCGGGTCTGCCAAGGGCCCATCCCGCCTTCACGATTACGTCTCTACAGTCCATCCTCTCTCCCCCGGATCCTTCGGCCGATGAACCGGCCGCTACTCCGCCAGCCGCGTCCGCTAGCTCCTCTCCGAAGCGCAAATTCGCCGAGGCCTTCAACCCTGTCCCTGCTGAGCATCGATCCGCGCATCCGTCGCCGGCCCCGGGTCCGGGTCACCCGCCGCCGCCGATCTACCACAGCCATACTATTCAAGGTTCATCATCATTACTGGCCGCGCGACCTGGGACAGGCTCTATGCACGACGGCCATGATGACCGCATCTCTGCAGGATTTGTCGTCACGAGTGGCCTGGATGACAAGAAAGCCGCTCTCATCAAACGGCAGCCCATGCGGTCTAGCATTGCTTGCCTCAAGTGCCGCAAGTCCAAAATAAAGTGTGAGAACGACGGAGGCATATCCCCTTGCGAAACATGCATCAAGCAAGGCAAGGACTGCCAATATCCAGAGGCAGCACCGCTTCCTCTACCTAAGCGGCCTGAACCTCCGTCAGTGACTCCAAGACCTGAACGCGACACCGGGTCGGACCGGAAGCGCGTCAAAAAAGTGGAAGATGTATCTCGCGCTGAAGCGCCAACATCGGCGGCGGCGCACGCCGAGGATGTTCTATCAGCCCACTACTTGACACCCAAGTTGTGGTCCGAGGTCTTTGACATTTACAGGCTTCACTTTGCTACTGAGCTGCCGTTCCTTCACCTGCCCACACTCAAAGAGAAGATGGGCCTCAGACTGAGGTCCGGCAACAGGGACACTTCATCCGACTTGAATCTTGTCCTTTTGGGTGTCCTCGCATTGACTGCGCGCTTTCATCAAGACTTAGTCAAGTATGCTACCCACACAGCAAATACACAAACCGGAGTTGCAAAGACCCGGTCGGTTCAGGGCAAGCCTGACTCTTCAGCTGCTTCTGACTTTTATGCCGAGGCTTTACGCAAAGCCCTTGGGCCTCTTGGTACGTCCATGACCACTGCTTCGGTCGAGCGTGTCCAAGCCTTCCTTATGCTCGGCTTATACGAGTGGAGTCAGGTTCAGCCAAGGACCGGTGGTCTCGGGGCGTGGATGTATGTCGGTGTTGCCATTCGACTTGCGCAAGCTCTCGGGCTAGGGTTCGGCGATAAGCCCAACCCCAAGAGGACGCAAAGTAAGAAACGAGGCCGGTCAGGCATTGGCCCGGCAAGTACGACACCTCCTGATGTCATGATCGCCAAGGAGATTAGACGGAGGACGATGTTTAGCTGCCTGATTCTTGATCGTCTTCTGTCATGTGGCAAGGAACGCGTCTCGACTATCCGGTCAGAAGACTTGCAAATTCAGCTTCCTTGCAACGAATGGGCTTTTGACCTCTCGAAAGAAGTACAGACAGGCTTCTTGAAAGCCTCCGAAGATGATGACGACGACAACGACGACGATGACACTTTACACACCGCTGAAGATGACAGCCCTCTCAGCCGATTTATCCGCTTGGTCGACCTCTGGGGCGAGATCTCCAAATTCAGCTTTGCCGGAGGTCGACTGGTAGAAAAGTACCCACCTTGGGATCCGCGAACAAAATTCTACAAGTTGAGACGAAAGTTGGAGGCCTTTTATGCTGATTTGCCTCCAACATTCACATTGTCGACCTCCAACTATCACCGGCATGAAAACCACCAAGCGTCTAGCGTGTATGTTTCGTTGCACATGCTAGGCAATGTCTGTACAATCATGTTGCACCGGTAAGGGATTTAATCTTTTGGACTTTCGGTGAATGCTGGGTCGATTTGCTGACTATCGACAGTGAATATGTCCCCTTCTTGCCTATTCGCTGTGACAGACCACGCGGGCCTCTTGACGAGCCAACGTTCCCAGAAGGCCAGTTCGATATCCCCGAGGGGTTCTGGGACGATAGCGCAGAAAGACTGTTTCGAGCCTCCAGAGCCATTGTTGACCTTATTGAGATTTGTCGCGACAAGCTTCCGCTCTCAGGCTTGGTCCTGTTTGCCATTTGGGTTGCCGCGTTTGTTGGCCAGTATGCGTGGCATTTTCCTCATATGGATCAGCAGCGGTACATGCTTGTTAGTGACGGTGACCAGGAAGACCATGGGTCATCTCAAGCGGACATAGATGTGACAACCACCGGGCCCACTGGGTCTTGCTACCAAACCCTCGTCCGAATTTCCCCGTGGCTGAAAATGGCGTCCACCTATGTCGGCTATTTGTGAGTAACGATCTAGTGTGCGTATCTGTATGTCAATGCCTGGCTAATTGATCATTCGTTATGTGCAGCAAGGACATTGACAACTTCATCCTCAAGGTGAAGCAGGACTACCAGCGCCATCTTGAAGCTGATAGTGACAGACCTAGGGGATCCCCGCAAAATGACGGCAAACAGCCAATTTGTGGGGGCGGCCTCGAGGAGTGGAAAAAGGAAAATGCCAAGATTGTCAACAACGGTATGATATTGGCTGATGAAGGGAATTCCAGGCAGTACGATACGTCCGAACGGGCGTACCGCGCCGATGCATTCGAACCCGACTATTCCCCAATGGAAGCCGAGCATAATCGGCAGCAGCAGCAACGAAGTGACACTCCGCGCGCCTCGTACTCCATGCTCCGAGCCATCAATAATCGCCAGCATCATCCAGACAGCTCACCCTTGAGACGTCACGAAGCAGGTGGTCTGCACGCTGCCGCTACTGCAGCAGCGCAGGGGACATCGCCCAGACGTATTCTCAGCGGAGGGGCTCATGGTATCCCTGGGAGATCACGAGGGGGCAGCGAGTCATTATTGCCTGTATCTCGTAATGGAGGAGACGAGATGGATGTTATGGAGCAGCTGAACGAGTGGGAGTCGACGCGGATAGCAGACTGTCTGGCCAAGGTCGGCGGAGACATTCAAGGATTTTCGTACGGGGATGTGCCCAAGCAGAGTCAGGCATTTGGCGAATTGCCCTTGCCGGGATAGTGGGTGAGAGAAGAGATTCCAGTCGAGAATTGTGGCTGTGTAAGACGTGATGTTTTTGGGGGAACCGTTCCTGGAATGTCTTCATGTCAAAAGATAAGGATAAAGGTCGAGCGAGCATTGAAGTTGCGCGGCCTGCACGGCCTGCGCTGTGCCTATGGCCTTGGCCATGAGCTGAAATCCAGGATCATCGAAGGTAGACTAGATCCGCAGCAAGACAGAGGATTAGAAGAAGAAACACCCCCCCCCCCCCAAAAGTGAAGAAAAAAGAAGGGGGCGTTGCATTGCAAATTTGGATTTCAAACTCTTCGTGTGTGATTTGGGAGTCATAAATTTGCGCCTGGTGAGGCTGACGCAGAAGCTGATATTTTGCTCTCTGCATCTACCCGTAATGATGCCGCGGAAAGCATGAGGGCATAAAAGAAAGTGTGTTCTCGTCAGTACAATGACTCAACAGAAATCATCAAGAAGGAAACTATGAATCATGTTCAAATCCCAAACAGATTTGAGGCAAAAAGACAAAAAAGTGCAAAAGAAAACTCCCGGCGGGGCTCGAACCCGCAACCCCCAGATGTACGACTTGATGATGAGATCAAGTAGAAGTCTGATGCGCTACCATTGCGCCACGGGAGCTGATGTTATTGTTGTTCGAACTGAACTTGGATGTCTGACACGGTTGGAGAATAGTTTATATACCATTCATTCTGCGAATGATTCCTCAGGTTGGATCATACAGAGGGATCTCGGGAGGGAGTCTGTTTTCGTGATGCATCCCGTACGGTACCTACCAAATTATATTTTTTTTTTTAAAAAAAAAAAAAAAAAAGGTGGCCCTCGAGCGGGATAAAGCAAGCGGGTTGAATAAGTGTGTGGTATTTGCATTCAACAGCAAGCTACGTGTAGCTTCGCCTGCGGCCCAAGTTCACATTGATGAGCCAAAGCTTGTGTACATGTGTCAGAGCGGGAGGGCGGTCCCAGTACAAGAGTAGCAAGCACGAGGCTAGTAGCCCCGCCGCTAAATTGTTCCGTCACTGACTCATCAGATCAGCATGAGGGCATTTTGGAGTGGTACTTGAACTTTTTGTAGATTGGCTGGTGCAACTCGTTGTGGTTAGACCCGTCTAGTAGATATGCGAACGAAAGGTAGTAGTTGTGCATATATCGTTCCCGAGATCGACAATGCGTGAAGTCTCCCGATGCTCTCTTTCCAAATCTCTGTTAATCAAGATTTATTCATAAATTGCTACTTGGCCATGGCGAATCGATAATCGTGGTTTAGGTCTGACATATTGCTTCGTCTGATCATGGGCACGACGGTCAGGCAAAACCTGAACTGTGCCATAGTTCTCATCCGTCCTCATCGTAATGGAATGCCGTGACTTGGCTGCTCACTGAAGACTTTGAAAGCTTGAAATACTTTTGCTTGGCTCATCTCAGGTAAATCATTGAAGTAATTGATTTATCGACATAATGAAGCAACTGAAAGCTAAAAAGGTCAAAGTCGACTTAAGTACTCACAATCACCTCCCAATTATCGAAATTGGAATATTCGAACTGGAAGAATGGAATATAACGTTTGTTGAGCGTCCATAAGTGATGGCTATATTTCCGCACCTGGCATACAACACCGGCGGGCTTTGTGACAGTCACAGGCGGCGAATTTGATTTTCGACCGAGAATATTTATTCCAGAGCAGGCATGAGAGTCAAACGTTGGAAAACGAAGTGAAGGGAGATTGATAATTAAGAACATAGAGCAAAATATATCATAGTGATTGGTGTTGACCACACACCTAGATCTGTGATAACGACGATGTAATATATCATGATGCAGGGGGAAAAAGTGTTGGAAGCAGCTGCATAGTAAATTCTCCAACTTGTGTATCTGTAGACATGATATCGTAGTACGCGTTTGAGGAACATTCAAGACGCCAAGTCCGGCCGTCAAGTGGTAATGATAATGTTCATCTGTCCATTTGACTATATATATATATATGTGTGTGTGTGTGTGTGTGTGTGTGTGCAACACCATGACCATTAGTAATGTATTTCATACTTTTGTACAATATAAGCTTCTTGAATAAATATAATTTCAATCAAAGTACTCGGCTACAAATAACCAAAAAGTTTTCAACACTACGGTCGTGCTTTTTGTATGCGAAATTACAACCAAATCCAAGGCCATATATTTGTCACAACAGGACGACGAAGACAGCTTCGAGGATAAATATATGTATGTACGTCAAAAAGCGAGAGAATATATAGAACCACCACTTGCTTTCCAGATAACAAGTCATGTATGTACAAGAACTTCAACCAATCTCGATCCAACAAATGAACAGAGATAGATACGATTAAGCCCAGGGGGAAGAGAAAAGAGACCAAAGAGTCCAGGCTGGTGAAGGTACCACAATCTTGACAATCATCCTTTTCTCCCTAGTATTTCTCTTGTCCCGATGCCTAACAATGTGTCCAGTCTCGTCAGTTCACAGAGAGAGTCTACCCACTTCATTGGACTAAAGAAAAAGAGAACCATCAGCCACTCTAGCAGATCGTACAGGCGCCGAAGAAAGAAAAGACACAAATTCTATGGCGTTATTCCGCCATTGTTGGCGAATGATTTGCGTCCTTCCCTTTCCCTGCCCCTCCTGTTTTCGTTTTCTTTTTTAAGTGTCTTGATCCGCTTATGCGGGAATGCACTGGGAGTAGTAGGCGTTCTGGACTGTGCATTTGTAGCCAGAGACACATCCGGTCGAGCCAGAGTACCCGATACCGCCGCACTGGCCGTAGGCCCCAACGGTGCCAGTAGAGGTTGCAGCGGCGCTGCTGGTTCTGCTGGTGCTGGTGCTGCTGCCGGTGCTGGTTCCTGTGGTTCCAGTAGCCGAGAAAGTCGAGTTGATGGCGCCAAACTTGATGTTAGAGTAAACGACCTTGGAGCTGGGGTTGGAAGCCTCAATAGTAGCTGGGACACCAGAGCTGGTCGAGCAAGAGCCACGGACGGAGCCAGGAGTGGTGGAGCCAACGGGGTAGGTAGAGTCGAGCCAGAGCATGTCGGCGTAGTAGTCGTCCCACAGGGAGAGAACAAGAACCATGGGCGCGGCCAGAGCCTTGCTGATGCCAGCCCAGCCACCCTTGGCGGCAAAGGAGCCCTCGGCGTCAAAGGCAGTGGCCTGGGCAGTGCAGTAGGCAGAGGTGAGCGAGTTGTAGGCAGTAGTGCCGGCAATGGTCGAGTACGAGTTGGGGATGACCTCGCCGTTCTGGACGTAGTAGCGGCGGATCTCGGACAGGGCGCCGCCAGACTCGAGGAACTGGGTCACAACAGTAAAGGGGGACGAGGTGTCGACGGTCATACCGTCTCCGTAGAAGTTGGTCACTCCCTGGCGGTAGCTGTTGAAGTCGCAACCATCCGGGTCGCACTCGCCGTTGTAACGGTTGGCAGCACCGCTGTAGGTACCTCCACACGCGGTGCCATTGCAGATGACGGGGGTGATGCTCTCGCAAGGGTGAGCTGTGTAGGCAGCGCTGTAAGAGTTGGCCTCCCATACGTCCTATATGGAAGGATTAGTACGTCTTGATCAATGGCGTAAGCGCAAAGAAGTTGCGGTAGCTCACCATCTCGGGACAGCAGGATCCCATGCCACCAGTACCCGTGTTGGCGTTGTTGCTCGAGGCAGTCCAGCCTTCAACATTGGCCTATCAATGACATTGTCAGTTGCGAGTTCATTGAGGTATACAGTTGTTCTCGCGATATGCTTACCTCGCCGCCAATGAACTTCAAGTCACGTGGGCCTAAGTGCACAAATTAGCCAAGATCGCTGCGCGAGAAGAGACAGTTCCGCATCAAGGAATCGACAGGGAGGTGATTGCTTACACTGAGAGTCACAGTATCCAGTACCGTAGGCAGCACCAGCCTTGTTACCAGAGTACTCGGACAGGCCGCCATCAGCATCCATGGAGACAAAGTACAGAGCGCCGTTCAGGCCACACTAGACAAGATTCATGTTAGCGTCGTCAAGCAATCTCCTGCTGAATACGCAAATGTAGATATGAACAGGTTCAGAACTTACACCTAGAGCGCTTACGTCCACATCAAAGGTGAACTCCTTGCCGAGAAGGGTGAACGTCTCGTACTCGGTGGCAGACCCCATAAGGTACAGACGGGAACCGACGTTCTCGCCATTGCTGTTTTCCGTGACAAAGTCGAGAGTCAGAGAAGAGCCGCTCGACGAAACACCGTAGGTCGATGAGTAGTCGGCGCCATCAAGACAGCAGTCCTCAGCGCACGTGACGTCAGTGTCGCAAATGGCGGTGTTCCATGTGTTGCCGGTGTAGCAGTTGGTGGACGAGTTGACGTCGTGGACCCAGCGCCAGTTAGAGTCGATGACCACCGAGCCAGTGTTGGTGGTGCAAGAGCCAGCAGCAGTGCAAGTCTGCCACGTAAGGCTGGGCTTGGACTCGGCGTTAAGCGTGCAGGCCTGCTGAGCCTTGACGGAGGCCACAAGGGCGCTGATGGCAGCAAGCTTGCTGTACATCTTGCTGGATGTCCCGAAGATATGGGGAGTTGACCAGAGAGAAGGGTGCCAGGAGAAGAAGCCGTGGATAAAGAGGCAGGAGAAGACCAGAGCCAGGAGTTGCTGTCTCTTTACACGAGGTCGTGGTGCAGAACACTCAAGAAATGGTCTTAAGAAGATGCGAGCAAGCCATTCTTATATATGCCTAGGCATATTCCATCTGAATGGTGCTCTGAAGGGCGTACTGGTCCTTGATCTGCGCAGTATGGCATCGGAACGTACTGCCGGAAGGACAAGCCCGAATGATCAGCAACGGACTGGTCAACGCCTCTGCTTCTGGAGAGGGAAACACGGCCCAGTGAAGCGGCCACCAGTATCTGTGGAGATGTAGAGCGCTTTCCACAACGCGATAGTCGGGCTCCAATAAATTGGTTGCCATGCGAAATTTCTTCGGACACAAGGACTAGACGGCAGTCGGCCCGCATAGACCTCGAGCTTGGCGGTTGATGGTTCAGAAGCGGTGGTTCAACTGTAGAGGAAGACGACCCTGGAGTACACAAGTCTGAGCGATTGGCTGAGCATAAGCCATGTTTGAGCAAGGGAAGGCGAGCTATCGTGAGCCAGTATTGCTCTTCTGTGGGTCTCCGGGTACAAGTGGCTAGGAGCAAGGCTAACTTCCAGCTGGACGACCGGAGAGCTTGGCCTGACCTTCTGACATTCCGAGTTGCCCTTTGAAGTCAGTCGTGGGTAGACAACAGCTGTGCCTGGGCAGAGTCGTGCCGAGCTTTTGCCCCTAGTGGACCATGCTTGGCCAGCTCGTGAGAAGCATCTCATCGTGGTTAGTGACAGCTAACCGGCCTACGCCGTGTGGAAGGCAATATCATGTGCCTCGTCATGGTTGCAGTCAAGTGGTTTACCTGAAAGCCTTGGTCAGCCACGATTGCTGTATGAAAGATCGTAGTGGTGAAGTTGGGCATAGCATACAGCGACTGCGATTGGAGGGCTTTTCTCTGTGCAGGCCAGAAGCAGCAATGCGGAGGTCTGATTGCCGAACGTCACATAGAACCGGGCCTCCAGAAGCCAAAACACGGCTCATGTAGCTGTGATTTGCGGTAGCAGCATC